TCCACCGAAACGTCCTCCGAACGATCAATCAGCATCCGCGCACCCTCGGCCGACTTCCGACGTAGCTAACCAGCCGAGGAGTACCAAGGGTGGGTCGCTCTCGGTGCGCGGGATCGCGATGGTCCCGCAGAAGGAAACAAATGAACGTGAACCGACGCAGCTGGTCGTTTGACAGGCGTAGTCGGACGGTCGTTTGACAGGCGCAAGGATCCGTGAAAGTGGCCGGTCGTCGGTCGGTTATTCAGAGCTTGTTAAGCTATCCGCCGGCCCTCCTGCTCCAGCGTCTTCCAACCCGCTTCCGGCGATCCTTTATCTCCAGCGAAGCCGCAAATCGCAATCAATCTTCATTCCACATACTTTGCCCGTGGACGGCGAAGAACGGGATGAGAGCTCTATGAAGAGGCTCCAGGCGCGAGCAAGATGGAACAAGGGGGGACAGGTAGACGAATGGGACGGGGGGGGGGGCGGGTGCAGGAAGTAAGGGCTGAAAAGACAGAGAAAGAGAGAGGAAGCCGCACGTGAGCTTATTCGTCTCTCCGACAAACTATGGGGCAAGAGTTTCATAAGTGCTTTAAAAATTGACAAGTCGCTACCAACGTCGCACGTGTGCGACGATCACGATTTTGTGTTTCACGTAAAGAACGACAAATTAATTTGTTCAATATAATTATTTAAAATTCTAACACGTGGCATGACATTTAAAGGATTTATAGAATATTATAAATAATGTAAAGAATAATATAAAGAATTTATATTACATATGTATCTTCGACATTTGACATTTTTAATATATTTTATAAGAGGATAAGATGTATTTAATACGATAAATACAATAAACATAACTATACAATATTTTTGTCACAATGTGATCTAATGTTCTTTTTAATGACTAACACTGCTGCACGATTTAAAAAAAAAAACGACTGAAAAATTATTATTCACAGTGCTGTTGTTTCCTTAATTTAACTAATTGTCGATAGAAATAAGTGTACTAGGCATCTATTTGAATAACATTGATAATAATCGTTAATAACATCGTACATAATTGTAAAGCCTAAATTAGCTGTTAACTGGTGGCAAGTTGGTTTTCAAAACATCGATACTGCTTATAAACGTTGTTAAAAAAATGAATTCGAATACTCATCGAAAGATGAATTCTATTACTAATCAAGAGACTCGGCTTAAATATGTGATATTAATAAGAAAATATTTCTTGCCGCTCTTGTGTGAATGCTTTCTCTCCATAGTTGGGCGTCTCTGTTACATTTAATCAACGCCGCTGTTAATAGACAAACTCGCGGCACGGCTTTCAACGGTAACGGTCCCGGTCCCGGTCCGAACTCGACTCGGCGGATCGAGGCGGTCGGAAAGGGCGCCGACTTCAAATTAAACGGCGAAACAAACGGCTAATCATGCGTCCCGCGGGAAGGGGGACGGGTTAGAAAGATAGAAAATGGGGTCGACGTCGGGTATCCTTCCGTCTTGTTCCGCTTCCTCCGACCCCCGGCGACCCCTGACGGAGGGTTGAAGCCGGGTCGGACCCCGGCACGCTCCGAGGGCGGCAAACAGCACCCTCCGGAGAAATATAAGGCAACTACTTCACTCTACGCGCCGCCATTATTCCGTGCCACGGCCGTCCGCGAGCCGTGGGGGTCTCTTCTTCCTCGCGAGAGAATTACCGCGGACAGGATACACCGGGTAGACGGCGGAATTAATTGACAACTTCGCCGGGAATTTACGACTCCATTGTATCATACGGGGCGCGAGACCCGCGGACCAAATTGTTTCGCGACTGATTACGTGACTCGGTTACACTGCGGATCGCGGGGGCGGAATGGTTTCGCTTTCTTTGTTGCCGCGCGAGATGTCAGGGTGACTGATCACCGGCCGATGTCGAGCTTGAAGGGTGTACGCTGTTCGGGCCGGTACACTTTATTCGACTGTTTAAAGCTGGTAAACGTGCACGGAAGATCATTTCGGAGGCCAAATTACTTTCTTGCTTCGACACAAGAAAAATAGTGAAATCCTGAACTGTTTTGTAATTTAACTAGTTGACGATTCTATGGCTGCCAGAGTAATCGGAAGGACCGCTTTTTAAAAGCTGTATCATTCCAACGCTTATGATAACGGAGACCGGACTTTACTCGAAGATCCAAGTAAATATAGTCTTATTATTTAATTAAACCACTGACCAGCAGTAATGTTAATATAATACGGTGTAAGGGCTGCGAGGCTGCCAAGACACGCTAGGCGGTGAACATGTTAATGTCTCGTTAGCTCTTATCATAATTGGACGCGAATTTATGTGCGTTTATAATGTGCATAAAAAATACAAGACGCGCGTATTAAAGGAAAGTAATTGTGGTACGTTTATTTTAATCGTGAAGGACCTTCCGGCTGGTCAAGCAAAGTTTCTCTAGCCTTCGAAATTTATTTTTATTGTAACATATTGAATAAACTGAATGTTCCTAGGACTTTTGGGATAGAAAACAGTTGAACTAATATTTCTTGCGATAAATTTTAACTCTTTGCACTCTGAAGCTTTTTCTGATACATCTACCAATATAACAATCATATCGAAAGTTGAATTGACATAAAAATCATTATGCCGCTGCGAAATTTTATAGGAATTTATAAATTAAAGATTTTGTGTTTTTATTTATGTATTTTAAATGATTACCTTACATTATTAATAATTTAGCGTTGTGTCGGTGACATCGGAGTACAAAGTATTATCTTTCTTGTTTCGATTACATAAATTAATTGATTTTGATACTGTGGGAATTTTCGGAGTTAATAATCGGCACTTAACGTGTCGAATAAATTGCTTCGACTTCGTCTAATCTCCGTAGTTGTTGAAACAAACAAGAAAAATCCGTCGAATGAATTCTCAGAAAACGATGTCGAATACTAATTTTCGTGTTGCACTGCGAGCGAAGTGTGTCTCGGACTAATGCCAGAAAGTTTCAACCCCCTCGACCCTCTCGGAAAAACTGCAGAAGAGTATCCGCGCGGCCTGGCAGTTAGTTCGTCGAAAATTGTTGCCGGGTGTTATTTTATTACTCCGCCTTCTCGAAGGCAACACCCTCCGCAAAGCCTGATGGCATTCTACCGACGAGCCAGACCGCCCTTCGAGAACCGCTTTTTATCTTCCCCGCACCAGCTCGACACCAGCTTTTTTTTACACGGTTCCCCGTGAAAACCTCTCGACACTAGTCGACACGCTCAAAGACTGTCACCCCCCATTCCACCTTGGAACAGGGGAACCGGTGTGGTATCGGCTTTATACGCAACTATTTAAGCGTGCTACGTGTTTCTTGCAACGTGCCGGGCTTCAAAGAGCCTCGGCGTAACGAAGAGCCTTTCCCTCCTCTGTTCTCCGCCCCTACGTTTTTCTCCTGGAAATCCGCATCTCGACCCTAATGAAAATTTCCGTCTTCACGGAAAACCGATTCGGCCGTAATTTCGTTTTGAGACGGCGGAACTCGTACACCGAATACCTCTGTTTCACCCTCGCCCGACCCTTCACTCGATTTCACGCGGGCTTCTCGTCCACGGTTGCCATAAACGCGGATAACCAGCGCGCATTGTGTTCTTTCTTTCTATCCTAAACTCGCACGCTTGATTTTATTCAGGTACCTTCGATTTCTAATAGGACTGATTCCATTCTACTTTGCTACTCGGATCAAAATTCGCCTAATTTCGACGACTGTGCTGTAATTTAGTACGTAAACTGTAAGCTGAATACAGTGGGTTATTCTGCAACGAACGAATGCTACAGCGAACAATTTTTCTCATTAAATTAAAAGTAAATGACTTCTCTGCTTCCTCTTCTTTATAATTGTTTTATTTTTCACATTATGGCCAATGTACAAACTTGAAATACAGGCCATAATTATGTTAACACCCGGAAAGGGATTCCTGAGGTCATTTGAAGTAACTTTTTCCTTAGCGAAAATGCAATCCGCGGCTTCGTTTACGAGTTATTAACGAAATACGCTGACCAATAAGAGGCGAGCTTGGCTGGCACGAGCCGGCCGAGCCAATGAGCGGTCGAAGCTCCTGTTCCGCGCATTGGCTCTGTTGCCTCGCGCTAGGCGAACTCGCCGAGCCAACGAGCGCGCGAAGCCCAGTTCCGCCGATTGGCCGGCCGCCTACCGCTAGGCGAGCTCATCTCCTATTGGTCGGTGTATTTCGTCCGCGCATTGGCTCGGCCGCCTCCTGCCAGCCAAGCTCGCCTCTTATTGGTCAGTGTATTTCGTTAATAACACGTAAACGAAGCCGCGTATTGCATTTTCGTTAAGGAAACAGTTGCTTCAAACGACCTCAGGAATCACCCGTTTCCGGGTCTTAACATAATTATAGGACACTCCGTATAATAGACTAAATCTATAGTGCATGCATTTGTGCATGTTCTTTCAAATTTGTCTTCCATATTAAATATATCCTCTGTTGAGTGAAAATCATTGTATTCCATAATAAAAAAAAAAAATTAATAATTGTGCCGCATATTCGATAATAATATTCGGTAATATGTATATATCAATATCAATCAATTTATCTTACAACGAATGGATGCTATATCGAACGAGGTTCCACAATAATTTAGTTTGTTACAGGATAGTCCACTGTACAAGTTGTTGGTCCAAAGCGTAAAGTGCAATTAAATAGGATGTCCAAGAGAAACTTCTGCGCAGGAAAATGATATTTTCCGGCGTCAGTTCGTCATTTCAATATGTCATGCGTTACAAATCTAGATCAACCGAATGAATAGTTAATCGTGACTAGTTTAAACCGAAAATTTCATTTCTTGCTCCACCGTACGTTGGAACGTGAAATGAAATGTTCGATAAAGCTGCGAACTAGTCTTTGCGGTTCAAGAACGTACGAGACGGCGTAAAAGTTCTTGGAAGCCAGACTACTAATTCCCGAGGTATTAGCTTGTTTGAGAACGATAGTACGAGACGGAGGAAGAAATCGTGGAGTGTAAGAGTACTTACTGTCCAGCCATTTCGAGTCGTACTTCAGTGTCCTCTTGAAGTTGAACTCCTTGCGACCGGTGGTTAAATTGTAGAGATCCGTGCGGAAGATTACGGTATCGGCTTTCGTGAATTCGGCATTGGTGCCGGAATAAAGAGCTGGCAAGTCACCAGGATTGCCCTTTTCCACCCAGACGGCGGTCGAATTGTCCGTAGGATCGTAAGGACACTTCGCTATACCCATTCCCACGCCCGGGACGTACTCGTGGCGGGGTAAATGGGTCAGATTGCTCTGCGAAAAGAACGGATTAATTCACCAAAATGATCGTTCCTTTAACGACAACTAGTTTCGCAACGATCGCATTCTCGCCTCGCTTTCACTCCTGCTCTCCCGACAAAGACCGCCATTCGACCGACTATAAAATCGCACAGATTTTCCTGACCCTCGTCAACCCCTTAAACGCACAATAATTTTCATCTATACGTTGAAACACGTTTTCCCACGATTCCGAAGAGAAAACGGACGTCATTCGAGTCTCCCGTAATAGTTTCGAATTCAACTTTCCGCTGTCGCGCCGGATCAAAATGTCCCACTTATTGGGTTGGCAACTAAGTAATTGCCGATTTCAGTTATAGATGTCTCTCACTCCCATTTTTATGATATCCGTAAATGTTATATTATAAAATTATTATT